CATCAGACCATGGCAAGTACAACATCTCTCGCTAGTTGCTTCAAAGTTCAAACGCTTCGCAATCTTCAAGTATTCATGTCGAGAATCTTTTCATAACTACTTTGGCTCTCTGTTTAGCGGGTTTTCCATTTCAAATTTCGTAAATTTTATCGAAAAAATCTCTGTATTTTCGCTGTATATTTTCGCGAATTTGCGATCAAATTCTGTTCGCATTTGTTGTTGTTTTCAATAGCGTGGAGTAGCGATTCTCCAATTGGTTAATTGACGATTGTTGTGAGAACTGCACAGTTCATCAGTAATTTTAATCAAGTTAACCGTCGTTTCACTGTAGTAATTTTATAAAACAATTACCAAATGGTTTTCCCGTCCAGGATAGCATGATCCATGCACTTGGGTTGTTGCTCGACTTACGGAAAGCGTAAAAATACACTCGCCTACGGCTCGTGTATTTTCACGCTTTCCGAAAGTCTCGCAACATCCTGCGTGCATGGATCACGCAATCCTGCACGGAAAACCATTCGGTATTCCTTTAGTGGTTGACAGACATTATTCCTTGAATTTAAAACCATGGTCAGCTAGAACACTATACGTTTATGCACAGATTCAGCACAAAAATACTCTGTTGGTTTGCAGGAGATGTTTGTCTCCAGATTGTGCTCCCAGGAAGAAAATTATTTTTTCTTGCCCTGTACACAGCCAGAAACGCGCAAGTCGGAACAGATCTGCAACAGATCTGTTAAATCCTGTTGTCAACAAGCCGATATCTGGATGCGTTCGCTCGCCTTGTACCTGTCTGTTCTGACAGGTCCGCAACGGCCTGTCAACAGGTCTGTTAGAAGCTGTTGTGACAGAGCTGCAGCAATGCTGTTTTCAACAGGTCTGTTAGAAGCTGTTGTCACAGAGCTGCAGCAATGCTGTTTTCAACAGACCTGTCGCAAGTTGTTGACACAGAGCTGGAGCAATGCTGTTTTCAACAACTTGCGACAGACCTGTTGCAAACCGAGGAAAGCACCTTATGAAGCTTGTGTATCCAATATTTTGAACAAAAAGCGGCCAAACAGGTTGCCATATTTCGGTTGTAGTGTTTCGTGAAATAGCCAGACTTTCATATGAACACTTTATTGCAGGGCTTTCAAAATAACCCGGCGGCCGCCGGAGCTCCGGCGGGTGGCACGAGGTTTACCGCCGGTTACTTTGTTGAGTACTTGAAACATCAATTCTGCTCTCCTTCCTCCATTCTAAGCTTTCAAACAAAGTTCTTTTTCCTCAACTTAGTCTATACTTTATAGCCTGGTTATTTTCGAAAACGACGTACTATTTCGTAAAACTGATTTAGTTATTTGCCATCTTATTGTCGATTTCGTGCCACTTTTCAACGCGCGGTTCCCACGTTCGTTGGAAACTTGCCAATTACGTTTCCAAGTTCAAATATTGGGCGTGAACTTCGCAACAAAGATCGCAAGTACGTTTCAATGTTTGAACTATTGTAAACAAATGTTCATAGTTCAAGATGAAATTAACAATTCAAAGGAAAGTTCTTGGTCGAGTGGGCTACCAAGAAGGTTTGTATTTCGTTAAATTGGTTATTATTATTGAGTATGAACATTTGTTTACAAACGAAGTTCAAACAGTGAAATGAAATTTCGCGCCCAATTTCCGAACTTGGAAACGTAATTGGCAAGTTCGCAGCAAACTTGGGCACCGCGCGTTGAAAAGTGACTTGAAATCGACAATAAATCTAGTTGAAGAATGAAAGTAGTGATACATCATAATTTGTGTTGTGTTGCTATCTAATCAATGTACCTAATTTATTTCGACCTAACTAGACCGTCCCCACCCTACAGCCGCCTACTTTATCAAAACAGACACCTGCTCAGAATAATTCTCAAAGCCCTGCTTTATTGTCTTATAAACAATCTTGCGAGATAATTTTTGAGCAAAACATCCGAAAAATACGACAAATACAAGAAAGGTTCTTATCGTAAACAATTTTCAAAATTAATTGGTCTTTAAGTACGACCGAAATATGACAACCTACTTGCATATTTTTCTTCAAAATAGTACATACAATAACACAAAGCTTCAATAAGGCGTCTTCCTCGCTCGCAGATATCACTTGAAATTGGATTAAGAAATTATATAACGAATTTCATATTCATATCAACAATGAAGAACGTTGCAGTGAGCACTCGGTTGCTCATGTATTTTTCATTTCTTAAGCTCTAGATCTTGTATTCTCATTGCCACAGTTTCTTCAAAAATCAAAACAGCTTTGAACTTGTTTGATTAATCTTGTTTGAGGCAGTTGTTGAAATTTTGTTTGGCTCAAAATTCAAAAACAACTAAACATGATTACGTGATTGATATGTTTGTAATATTTCGTCCAATTGCAACGAGGAATGATGACGTGTGCACACGCCTTTATCCAATCAGATTAAAGAAATATAGCGATAGCACACGTCAGCAAATTGGAATTTGGATTTTGGAAATCGGAACTATTTTTTAAAAATAAAACAGCGGCTTTTGCACTCAATCAGAGAATAGATACTATAGACTATAGTCTCTCCTATGTGATTTAGTATTGCCAGCAATGACAATGATTGAATGAGAAAGTGAAGCCGGAAGTTCCATTTCGTGCGATTTTTCTCTTTACTCACATTTTTTGTTTGTTTCCCAACAACAGGCTTGTTGAAACTTGTTGTGACAGGACAAAAATTAATAGTTTTGTTTGTGGAAAGATCCGGGCTTACGGATCGAAAGCTTTGCAGTAATAAATTTACGTGGTGTTTCCACAAACAAAACTATTATATTTTATCACCATGCAAACATACAAAGAACTTAGGACAAAAATTGTTTGTTGTGGACAGGTTTGTCGCAGGTCTGATAACAAGCTTGCTGCAGACTTGACAAAAACAACTCGCGACAGGTCTGTTGGAACAGACCTGTTGATTTCAACAGACTTGCTGCAAGTTGTTCTATCAGACCTGTTATCTCTTGTTAGTAACAGGTTTGTAGCGGGTAGTTTCAACAAGTTGCTTCGGGTCTGTTGTCAACAGCTTGCGACAGACCTGTTCCCGCAAGCCTGTTACCATAGAGATTATAAATAACACTAGAGGAGGCATCGAGTTTAAAAATTGGGATTGCAGCTAATGGGGGGCAAATTCAAGTCCCGGATATAAAATCGTGCTCTCATTGGCTGATTTGAAACTCGTCACCAATAGGAACACGAATACACATCCGGGACTTGAATTTGCCCCCCAATAGTCGCGTTCCCTTTTTTTTACTGAATTAAGATTACAATGCCTCCTCTAGTGTTATTTATAATCTCTATGCCTGTTACCGCCTGACGAAACCAACAGACCTGTCGCGACTTGTTGACAACTTGCCGCAAGCCGGTAAAATCAACAGCTTGCGACAGGCCTGTGAGATTTCTGGCTGTGTACGTAAGCATGTATATTACATGACGTGCATATTACATGTACATCGGCTACGAATGCTTTACATTTTTTATACTACAAATGCTTCTGAATAGTATATCAACTAGTTTGGCAATATGGTTTGTTTTAGGCTAGAAAATGGCACTTAATTTTTTTGTAATTGAGGACGAAACATTTAAGTAATATTTCAAATCCGACCGTGAGGACTGATTACAGAACTAGATTTCAATTTGAAAACGATTTCAATTTCAATCGTGGAATTTGATAAAATTGCGAGGACTTGAAGTCCTCCCGAGTCCGAGCCCAGTCCGAATTGAAGGATAAAATTATTTTGAAATACGAGTAAATCACTGCTTCAAGACCATGTCAAGTCCGTAATGTAAACAGATCCTTTGTTTACATTTTGAACTGCTATATTTGTAAAATAAGACATGCTAACTGAATATCTAACACTTTTCTGGTTCGCAATTGTAAATGAATGTAAACTAGAGTACAGTACGTTTCAATTCAAAAAAGTTCGAAAGAGCAAAATTTGGGCAATGTTTATATCTGTGTGTCCCCCATTATTATGAGCAGAACTGATGCGCAGAATGGACTTGACATGGTCTTTAAAGTGAGGTAAGTTAATTTTGATCCAGTCTCTAGGACTGGATCAAGATACTTCACCAAGGTATCCAGTATTATTACCTGAGCAAAATAAAGCAATAGTTGGCTAATGGATAATGGTTGGCTAATTTATTCATTTGAGATTCCATTTTCAATGAGATATTGATTAAAGCTACTTTTACACGCTGCGATTTGTCGTGTACGATTCGTATTCTGGCGCGTATGACATTTACTGCTGACGCCACAATTCCTTTTCATTCAGATTATGGCAAAATTTGAAATGCAACCACTTTACGCATGCTTATTCGATTACATACGTTAGAATACGAATCGTACACGACAAATCGCAGCGTTTAAATGTAGTTTAAGGATTCATTTCTTTTGAATTTCATGTATATGTTTGTACTTTTGAATATGTTTGTACTTTTTAGGTTTGTTGAAAGTGATCAAGTGTAATGTTTCACTGCCAGTTTTTGTTATGATCAGACCAAGAGGTGGAGATTTCCTCTATACTGAAGCAGAGTTTGAAGTAATGATTGAAGATTGTGAACAAGTTATAAATGCAGGAGCTGATGGCATTGTTTGTGGTATTCTCACAAAGTAATGATTGTTTATTTGAAAAGAAATTAGCGACACTAATCATACAGTATTAAACGTTCGGTCAAATTTCATTTACCCTGTTTCATAATTTAACAGCTATCAGAAAGGACATTTCATTCAAAAAATAAAATCCATACCATGTATTTGCAATGTAATTTCCATATGATTAATCATATGGAAATTGCAAATATATGGTATGGACATTGGATTATCTGAAAGTTTCAACTACCGTCTGTTTCATCCAACAATCTTCAGGATCCATTTACTGTAAAGCTTTTTTTCATCAGATGAATCAGACTGATGGAAACTTTGAGGTAAGCGAAATTGGATTTCCATATTTTAACCAGGATCCATAATTACTATTTCTATAGTAAAAATTTTGAAAACAATCCTGTTTTTTTTTGTCACTTTCCTGCTAGGTAAAATGCGAGCAAGATAAAATGTAAGTTAAGCTGTAAAGAACCGTTTCCAAAATTGTATTTTTCTTTATAGGCAAGGCGAAATCGACGTTCCTCGCTGTAAAAAATTGTTAGGTAACGATCAAATATGCATGTATATAAGGTGTAAAGCAATACGCCTTTTCTTTTGTAATATCCTATAATTAGAACAGCATACTTTTTCTCCTGAGGCCGCGGTTGTTCAAAGCACGATTAGAGCTAACCTTGGGTTAAATTTAACTCATTGCTTTGGTTTACATATTTCTGTACGTCTGTTTATTTCAAAACGTTAGAAAATTAAATTTCTGATGATCCAGACAAGTTTCTGAAAAAATATTTCCAAGTTTATAAATAAGCTGCTGGCCAGTATGCTTTGAATTTCACATTAACCCTGGGTTTAGCTATAACCGGTTTTTGAACAAGAGACTACCATGCGCTCATGTGAACCCATTAAATTTTGCATGTAATCATAGAAATGGTCTCATTCCTTTTCCTTTTGTTACAGGCATCATCAAGCCACTTCCTGTGACATTTCATCGAGGTAAAAAATTTGTGTTGACTTTTCAATAAATATAGAAAACAGACCTTATGCACAATGACGTCACAAGGCTTGATGCCCGCGAGGAATGCTGGTCTTAACATTTCGATAGTGGCCATTTTGAATTTTTTAATTTTCCAGGGCGATGACTACTAAGACCAGCATTCCTGGCGGGCATTAAGCCTTGTGACGTCATTATGCATAAGGTCTATTGACCAATATGAATGCAATCTCCGAAGAAATTACCTTCACGAATCAACTTTTCGTAACTCCAGTCTAGCGCTTTTATTAGGTATCGCAACATGCAACTGTTGATATGCTCGACGAATGACGTCTCGCGGGCAACAAAGTGGAGTACGTACGCAAAATTAATAACATTTTCTATTCCGTCAAAGAAAGTGCATTACTGAAGGTGGTAAAGGTACATATAATGATGGACTTCTGTGTTGTGAAACGTGATTTACATCCCTATACATGAGCCGTGATTGCCGGTAATTTTTGTCTATGAAATGAGAATTTACTGCGACCAGTAAAACAAAGACTGGGCGAGTACGCCGAGTAGAACTTCAATGATGTATTTTATTTGATTTATCGGTTGGTTTTTAACATGTTTCAGTGGTATGCTTTTCTTTCTGAAGTTTTGCCAACTTCAAAGTACGGTAAAAAGGTTTAAGAAAGGCATGATATACTCAATTTTAAAACTGTGTCTTTAATTTTTGTGAAATGACCATATTTTGCATGCATGTGAAACGTGAACATGCCTGTTTTACCCGAACGTGAACTGCCTGTTTTACAATGCTCTCCTGAAATTTGCTACTTTTGGGCTGAAAGTCCGTTAACATGGGTCTTTCTTAGGATAATTAAGGTCAAAATTTGTCTTTTTCTGGCCATTTTAAAAATTACGCTTCACAACAACATTGAACTCGTTATACATTTGTTTGTACGCCATTCACAAGTTCATTTTGCAGCGGATTGTAACTTTTCATCCAATAGCGAAATATTTTATAATATTTCTTTCCATTGTACAATCTTTGAGCATGTATAAAGTGACTGTTTTATTCGCCCAATTTTTTTCAAATTTCGGAAAACGCTTTGTAGATTGCGTGATAATATATAAGTGTTAATTCACTTTAATTCCATCCCCTACAGCATTTGACATGGTTCCTGATCAGAGTGCTGCTTTAGAAGTCATAATAAACTTGGGGTTTGATCGTATTCTCACAAGTGGTGGAAAACCCGACGTACTCCAGGGAGCACCCCATTTAAAAGATCTTGTGAATCAGGTATTAAAAATTGCCAGGATTTTAATGTGTATTTACATAGTCGATACTATAGAAAGGTTTGATTGGATTTGGGTTTGGCTACTGGTAATGAGTTAAGGTGCATGGTGTTAAGGTTAGGTAGGGGGTTATGGTCGGCTTTAGGGCTGGGATTTAAGGCTATCGAGTGGAGTTATGGCCATGTAGCGAAGTAGCTAGTATTTAGCTATACGCAGCCAAATTGGTAGCAAATCACAGCTTGGTGTGGTAGGGTATTCTATAGTTATGCCTGAACATATTTGCAAGGTAGAATACATTCATTTTTGTTGCAGTAATCTTTGTATATAGTAAAACAGGCTTCCATTTTCCCCATGGTTTTATTATGCAAATTTCCCTCAGCTAAAATGTTGAATGACATTCTTGCAGTTTTGTTTCCAACATAAATTACATCAAAATACAAGGTAAATTGCAGGATGTAACAGCGACGTAAGCCATTAGCTAGCTTCGTCATTGTTTTCCATAAAATTCAGCGAGAGATATTCGCCCAGTACACTGGTGTTCGATTTTGCCGCCCGAGCATATGCTTTAATTGAGTTAACCAATTAGTAAAAAGTCATTATAAAATATTTTCTCGTTGCGCAGGCTGGAAGACGGATTATCATTATGCCAGGCAAGTAATCTATTAGTTTAAACAATTTAAACAATTTTGTTTATATATATATATATATATATATATATATATATATATATATATATATATATATATATATATATATATATATATATTATATATATATATATATATATTATATATATTTATTATTTATAATTTTTTTATATTTCATCACCCATTAGGAGGAGGTGTTAATGAAGATAACATAGCAGAGATATTACAAGAAACTGGGGCGAGAGAATTTCACGGCTCTGCCAGAGCTCATGTTGGTTCTAAAATGAAATATCACAATACCTGTGTTTCAATGGGAAGGACCAGGGAGGAATATGGACATATGGTAGCCAGTTTGGAGAGGATAAAGCGTCTGACAATGATAGCAAAGGATTTTATACAGTAAGTCCACTGAATTTCCCCCTTGTCCCGCCTGTAAGGCCGAAGGCGGCGGGCGAGGGTGGTAACCTCCGACCCGTTACTAATAACGTGCAAGCGATTAACAATATATGGAGTGTCTCAAGAGTTACTGCATGGAAAGCTTTAGCAGCAACTACGAGTACGAGATTTGACCGCGTGCGTCCTGGCGCGAGGAAATCGTAATCGTTCTTGTTTCCATTAAAATATTGCTTTATCATTATTTATTGGACGTTCTCTGACTTAGTGTCTAATGTCTATAGCCTTCGACGGGTGTATACAAATGATTCTATAAAGGACGCTAAACTTAAGTAGGTGAAATCTGAGAATATCTATGCTATGTTACAAATGGGGAATGTGAATATTTAATTAATGCTTCTTGAGTTCCTTTGTTAAAAGTATTGTGTATTGTGCTGGAAGCGTATTAGAGTTATTATCAGCTTCGTCTGTTAATGCAATGTGCGAGGAGTCTAAGGTTTTAAGGTTCCTATGATTTCCCTTGTCTACCACTTTGACATTGGCAAAGTCAATTACATGATCTTGAGTTCATGCGTGTTTTGCGACGTTTGACCCCTTCTTGCTTTGTTTCATATTTCTTATGTGTTCGGACTTTTTCGTCTTCAGGGATCTTCCTGTTTCGCCTATGTAGCTCCAACTGCAATCTTGACACAGTGTCTGGTAAACCACGTTGTTTTGTTCTTCTATTGGTGGTTTCTGTTTTGCAGATGGGAACTGGCGTTCGAGGGTTTTCTCTGGCTTATTGTAAACTTTGATATCATGTTTTTTGAGTTTTCTGGCTAGAGTTTCGGTTAGTCCTTTGATGTATGGTAGGACCGCAATTCCTGCAGGTGGCGCCTTTCCTTTCCTGACCGGACTAACCCCCCTTACAAAAATTCCACATGATTTCACATGTGTGAAATTTCACATGTGTGAAATTTCACATGTGAATTTGGAACATGTGAAGTTTCACATATAATTTCACATGTGAAAAATCACATATTCCAAATTCACATGTTCCAAATTCACATGTGAAATTTCACATGTGAAACTTCACATGTGAAATTTCACATTTGAAATAATTTATTTATACAGTTAATATTTTCTACAAATGTTTAGCTACCATACAAAATAATTTATAATAAGGAAAAAACTTAGCAGTTCAAATGTCTTCTGCAATTTTTCTTCTTTTCGAATCAGCATTTCTTTTGTCTTTGCGCTTTTGGGCCATGGCAGCTTTCACTGATGAAGCTGTTGCTCCCGCAAAACGTTTAGTCACATGAGCTATAAGAAAGGAAATACAAGACTATCATTAGCTCTACATATTTCATGTACTGGAACTCCACAGTCAGTTAACATTACAGTATATAGCACTTCACAGTTCGCATGCAGCAATATGAGCAATTCCGGTCCCTCCTGTCCAACCTGTAAACTTTGCACCTTATTATGAATGGGAGGACCTACTGTAGTAGCACAACCCAAGCCTTGGTTGAGGTTGGTTCTAGTAATATTATGATAATTGATAACCCTTGGTTCATATGGCTTTTACCCTGACTCGTCCCCATGGCAAATTGGAAAGTGCTGCAAGGCTATCTTCTCAACAAGCAAAACTGTAAAATTTGCTGGCATTAGACAGAGTAATATAAAGTTGAGCATATTGCCAGTGAATGGGTTAACAAGAGAAATATGCAGATAGGATTTGTTAACAGACATCTCAACAGCACCCCCAATATTTTGCGAGGTATCTGCTACTGGTTGTTGGTATTTGTGATTTAATATGATATTGGCTCATTCCAGAAAACATTCATAGATTCATATGATTTCACCTTAGTTAATTGGAGAGGAGTGCTACTTGTTTCAGTAACCCACTGAGTGATATCACTGACAAGTAAAATTATCTGACATTGGGTCATTCCAGAGAACATCGATACCTCCCCCATGAAGGAAATTGGAAGTTAACCCCCTATTCCCTTCAAAATTCGAATGCCCTAATACACTTACTATTATCAGAAACAATTTTTTTCCCCTCCCCTCCTGATGGTAGAAATTTCCTCTGTGTCCAGGGGAGAGTGGATCTTTTCTGGAACGACCCATCAGACATAGTAAAACAATAAAGTTGTGGCACAATGCGCTTATGCCATATCCGGCCTAGTGTAATATCAGGTTAACACCCCATCTTAACGACCTGCCAAACTTCTTGAGAAGTATATTCTTGTTTTGTTGGGTTAATATGGCCATGTGTCTAGTGAACCCATTAAGTTGTATTGTACCCTTGTGTGTCCTATTTCCTTATTTTACTGTCTTTTAAATGCCAGATTATTGTACTCTGTCTAATGCCAGACCATTTTACTCATCAAGGCTAAGTGGATCATCAAGTACATGCTAGTGCATACTCTTGTAATTAATGGTTATTACTTATTTATAAGTTAATTCAATCTAGCTTTGGATGCACATGTAAAAAGAATACTAGTTTTATGCCGTTGTAAGTTTAGACTGTTTTTATAAAGTCTGCAGTAATTGTCCAATCATTTGATCCATTTAATTATAATTAAATTGTTTTTTTAAATAATTATTACAAAGTGGCTATATCTTCAGACCCGCAAACAAACTTCGCCAGGCTATATTTATGGCACTCTCATTCTTAGTCCCCACACGGGTTGTATTTATTGTTAAAGTCAAATTGAAACATAACTAACCCTAACCTCTACCCCTAAAAAATAAAACTAATCGGAAAAAAAGTTAAACATGTTTAGTTAAGGTGAACAAAAACCCGTCCCAACTCGGGTTCGAACACAGACTACAGCACAGCAGCCATCTGCCTAACCCTCTGATCTATTTTTGAGCTCGCTGAAATCCTTCATAAACAATAAATTTTATAGTGCTGGTTTAGTAGATAAGAGTCGAGAGTGCCGTAAGTATAGCCTGGCGAAGTCTGTTTAAGGACCTGTAGATATGTTTGTAATTATTATGATCCTGTCGGCATTAACGTTTTCGGATATGTCTCATTTTCGTGGCTGTTCACTCTGAAGAAGTTATCGTTCGGTGACAGGAAATCGTTGAGCATATAGACTATATTTAACATAAGCCCCTGATTTGAAGATTCTCTAGCTTCCGGCATAAATAACATATCTAATGAAGCATCATAGTAAATTTGTCATTAAGTCAAGTTATCTGTTATATGGTCCACACCTGGAAATTCGGAACTAAAGTATGTTATAAATCCTTACTTACGCAAAAACAAGACGGCTTATAAGACGTATAACAACTATAAGTCTATGCAGCGTCGGAACTGTCAATTCATAATCGTTAGTTGAAATTCATTCACAACGCCATAATGATTTGTTATCGATCTTATTGAGTCTGCATAAAGTGCGAGCCATGCATCCAAAACTCGCGAGTCACACGTGCATGAATACTGCAGCGAGCCATGCAAGTTTGCCTGAAAAGTCTCTATTAGATCAAATATTTGCGAGCATGTTATGCTGAATATCATTTTAAAACTTATACGATCGATGCTGAAAACAATGTTTTCTGTTTAAGGTGGCTCGATACAGTTTTCATAAGTTTAGACAAAATAATGCGAAGATATAGCATACCGTATTTACTCGTTTGAGCGCCGCGGCGCTCTTTAAATTTTCAGAGCTTCAGATGCGGCGCTCATTTGGGGGCGGCGCTCAATCAGGGGCGGCGCTCTTTAAAAAAATATTTTGTTTGTGAATTATGACAAGAACGTTTAACAATAAAATAAACAAGTTTTAAATGTTTTTGTCACAAAATGTCCCCATTTTGACGGCGGAAAGTTTTTACACTGCTTACAAGTTTACAAAATATCAATGTCACTGTCCTCTTCATGATCCGAGTCCAACTGCTGCATCGTAACCATTGTTGGATATGTCTCCCCGATATCAGAAGACGTAAATTCGTTGCTTTGAAAGAGGCAATCGCAGGAAAATAATTAATGCGGCGCTCTTTCGGTGGCGGCGTTCTTTAAAAAAATTTGATCTCAAATGCGGCGCTCATTCGGGGACGGCGCTCAATCGGGGGCGGCGCTCAAATGAGTAAATACGGTATATGTTTCCAAAATTGATATTTCTAATGACGTCAGCAATTGACATGCAACGTGTTATAAACACGTACAAAGGCGCGAGATGGCGCGAGTAAGGCCCTACGTCAGGTCATATATATATGTAAGTCCTTTCGTTAATATTCTTGGAGACATGAATGGTCACGTGGGTTTGGTCATATAGCATAACGTTTTGTTATCGCGATTCCTGTGTGTATCGATATAGCGAGCCACCTTAAGATACGACAAAAATGTGATCAAAATCGATGTTCGCACGGCAGCACATAAGCTATTAAATTAAACGAAATTGAAACTATATTTATTTATTCTGGATCATAATCTTGATTAGTTGTAGACTCATGGTCTCACATGTACAGAGGCCTAGTGGCCATTAACTCTACAGGAGGAAACCTAATTAAACTATGGATTCAATTTATTTATTATATTTTTGCAGTAATAAATTTACGTGGTGTTTCCACAAAGTATTGTACCAATTTATTTTAATATTAGAGGGTACTTATTTATATCTTGTATTTG